AGATAGAGACAAAGTGTTGTAAATAATTATCATTCTGTATAATTTAACTTTCAGAAATTTTTTTATATTTATGAAATAATGGGATTATTCTTAAAAATTTTCCAAAATTAAAAAAGGAATATTAGTTTTCCACCATGTTCTTGTTTTAAAACACTATTTTAATTGAACTTAGAGCCAGGAATAGAGCAGGTACTAGGCATAATATTTTAGATGTCCAGAAGGATCACGATTATTTCCTGAAATATTAAAATCATCTATCATAATTTAATGATACATAAAATCAATACTTGAATTATACATTAGCAGTTGAAAGTTGACAGTTTTATTCAAAAATTGGCTATATCCAGCATTTCCCATTATAGATAAATCAAATATTCTTATATTTGCATACTCACTCTCGATCTTAAAAACATCATTGGATTTGTGATAGTTGTATTTGCTTGAATATTTTCACCATATTACATTCGAAACTGTTTTTGAATTTCTGTTAAATTATGAAACATCCAACGACAAAAAAATATTTTATTCTATAAAAGACTATGTAATACATATAGGGTGGATACTTTTTTAATGGGATTGTATTGATAACCTCCAAACCATACTAGTTAAAAGGTCAATTAAATAAAGAAAAAGTAGTGTGACTCAAAGAAACATCAAGCGGTGGAAATTATTCAAAAATATTGGGATGGGTTCTTGAGATATGACGATAAAATAAAATTTGGTCATTTTTTATTTTAAGAACTACCGAAAATATTTTAAAGGTTTTTGATACGATAGTAAATTTAATTTGATTTGACGTTTTCAGGACGTAGATCGCTAAAACTTTGAAGATTTCTAATTTTAGGTAAGGTAAGGTGCAATTACATTTAGATAAAGTTGTAGCATTTTAACGGATATACCATCATTACCAACTGCATTTGATTTGAGATTTATAACATATAACAACAGTAGCGAGACAGGCATTTCTAGGGGGAAAACCTATAAAAAGTATTTGTTTATCTCAGTAGAATTTTTCACTCTGAAAATCCTATTACCTTGCTCTAGAGCATAAATTAGTAAAATCCTATTTATACAACTTTTAAAGTGAAATTCAATGATGTAAACCATTTCCTCCTAGTTTAAACGATAGTCAAATTATTTAAGCTTCAAAAGGCTGCCATGTTGATAAAGGCTTTCCAAATTAAAATGAAAAATGTTTAACAGAGTTTTGAAGAAGAATTTTCGATTTTAAGAGAACAATTAAAACGGAAAGATGAAATAGAAGAAAAAGTTAAACCTCTACCAGCTGAAAATGATTGTGTTCAAAATTCAAACATAAATGATGATATAACTGAGTTAAACACCAACATATCTTTGCAAAATAGTGATTTAAATACTCCCGATATATTTGAGAACAATTCTATTAATAAATCTTCAAATTCTGAAGTGATAGACAATACTTTATCGAACGTGGACGCCACAAATTTAGAAAACAGTCCAACTTTAGTACTTAAAAGGAAACATAAATCCAAAAGGTAGACAAAGAAAATCTATAGCGATTTAAAGAAAAACAATAATCGTTTCATATCAAAGAAAACTAAAAAGAAATCTACTGTGACTCAGATGTTTTCAGATATTTCTAAAAATACTAAAAATCAAACAAACAGCCACAATACAACATATCTCAAAGAAGACAAAACAGAACTAGGCATAAACAGGCTTCTAAGCTACATAAACAAAGACGAAAATGAAAATCCTGTTCAAAATGACAATAGTGTGGAAGATGAAATGGATTCTGCACAAGATGTTGATGAATTTTTCAAAGAAATTCTGTTTAATAAACAAGACTCACTAAATAAGAAATTTAAACCTTAAGAATCATTGATAGAATCAGGGCTGAGAAACAACGCTAAAAAAATGTTGAAAGGGTTTTCTTGTGTAAGTGTAGATATTTTTACGTAGCTATGAATCTGTCTCCTAAAAATTTACAAAAAAGAATTGACGTAATCACAGATATGAATATAAACCTCCCGAAGACACTTATGCAGGAATATGGGATTTAACGATACCAGAGGAAAAAGTTAAAAAGAAATAAGCTAAGATTGTTTAAATAGAAAAACTATTAAATTTTATAAAAAAAAATATATTAACAAAAACCATTGTTTCTGTCAGAATTCTTCCAAATTTGATCTGAAAATCCTACTTTCTGGCTTTACGGACAACTCAGCGGTGACTTTTTAAAAACCATTAGGTAGAGCTTTTAAAGAGGAATTAAATGATGCAATCACTTCTTCCTAGTTGGTAAGATAGTCAAGTTATTTAACAAAAACATCTGTTTCTATTAAAATTTCCACAAATTTGATCTCAAAACCTTATTTTCTGGCCTTAGGGCCTCATTTTCTGACCGCCCGAAGCGCAATGATCTAGCGGCGCCAAAATCATGGAAAATGAAAATAAAGTGATAAAAAAAATTAAGTTACAGACTTTTATAAAGTGCACTAAAAAGTAAAGAATATTTTTTTATATCAATAAATTACACAGGTTTACAAAATAAAAAAAAAGTACGGACTATTTGACCAGATTATGGTATTCCTAGGTATTTTGGCGTCCTGAATCCGATCCTGGGGTCAGTTTTGCCCCATCACGTCAGAAAACCCAGATTTCAAGGTCATTTAGAGGTTAAAATGGTGCTTTTTCGGAATCGGCCATAGGACAATTTCTCAAGCGATCTGTTGAGGGGTAACTGTCTAGGTTGTGAATACCTTCCAAACATTGGACAGGGGCCATGAATCTCGACCAGGATTAGCGCAGGGACAGCCCAGTGGATAAAATGTTACCATGATGGTTGTATCTTGCGAATTTTGATCTCCCTTCCAAGGTGTTCAATTTTGGCGATCCATTTGCTGTGAGATAATGCCAGTGAACCCAGCACTGACCCAAATGGCCCTAGAACCTTGCCAGAACATTAAAGTTACGCTTCGTATCCCGCTCAGGTTTGGCCTAAGGTGGACAACTGGCTCAGGGGGTTAATAATTCTGAAGTTGCGGGTTGGGGTCCTCAGGCCATTTTCTGTAACCTAAGATTGCCCGGGACAGTATACTCAGCTTCACCCAATTTTTTGGACGATGTTCTAGGAGCACTTTGACGATAATTCAATCGCCAAAATTCTACGTGTTGGCAAGGGAAGAAAAATTCACGATTTCCAATACCTCGAACCACTTGAGCATAACTCCAATGTTCTGGTAAGGTTCTAGGGCCATTTGGGTCAGTGCTGGATCCAGTGGCATTATCTCACAGCAAATGGATCGCCGAAATTAAACACCTTGGCAGGGAGATCGAAATTCGCAAGATACAACCATCATGGTAACATTTTATCCACTGGGCTGTCCCTGTTCATTGTTTGGAAGGTATTCACGACCTAGACAGTTACCCCTCAACAGATCGCTTGAGAAATTGTCCTGGGACCGATTCCGAAAAAGCACCATTTTAACCTCTAAATGACCCTGAAATCTGGGTTTTCTGACGTGATGGGGCAAAAATGACCCCAGGATCGGATTCAGGATGCCAAAATACCTAGGAATACCATGGTCTAGTCAAATAGTCCTTACTTTTTTTTTATTTTGTAAACCTGTGTTATTTTTCGTAATATTACATTGTCATCGAAACAATAGCTGCAGTTTCTCAGAGACTCATTGATTCTGAGTTAAATCACTGGTCTGAAGTTCTTTTACGCATTATATCAGTCGTCAAAATGCTAGGTAAGAGCTCTCTAGCTTTTCGAGGAACAAACGGTACTGTATGAACACAATAATGGAAACTTTTTAAAGTTAATTCAGTGATTGGCTGATTTTGATCCAAAAATAGAGGAACACGTTCGCAGAGTCCTCAATAAAGATCAATAAAGAAGAAATCAAAGCTACACATCTAGGGAAAACTATACAAAATGAAATAATTGAATTATTGCGTGACAACATAAAGCACCACATCATTGAGCAAGTTCAAAAGGCCAAGTATTATTCCGTGATTCTTGACTATACTCCCGATGCAAGTTAAGTAGAACAGATGACATTTGTGGTAAGATTTGTCTCCATACAGGAATCAAGTTAATATCAATGAACATTTTTTGGGTTTTCTACCCATTGAGAAATCAACAGCTAAGGAATTGTCGGAGGTTTTACTAGAAGAGCCAGAAAAAAATAGGCTTAAAATAGAAAACATGCGCAGTCAAGGGTATGATAATGGTTCCAATAAGAGAGGAGAAAAATCGGGAGTACAAACAAGAATCAGAAAGAAAATTATTTGAAAATAACACCTAAAGAAATTCTTTTCTTCGCTGCCCCCCCCCCTCCCCCCCCCCCAATAATGTGTTGAATAATTTTATATTATCGTTTTTATTGTGTTCAAATCTTCTGTTGTTTTTTTCTTTTCCTTAATATATTTTTCTTTTTTAATGCATTTATTACAATAAATATTATTTAATATACAATCTTAGAATAATAATTATTCATATTTAATTTATTTTTATGCGTCTTAAGTGTAATATACAAATGGGGGTCCATGCACAGCCTATGTTGGTTTCAATGGTTTTAGATCGATCTTAATTTGTTTATTTATAATATATATGTTATAAAACTGTTTGATAGGATATGATTGTCCAAAATAGCTAAATAAAAATTATTATTGATGAAAACTATTTAGTATCTCACTCTGTAAATAGTAGTTCTAATATATGAAAATCCTTAATTGTTTTTTAAGAACTTCCAGACAATATTAAAAAAAAACGGAAGCAATAAAAACACAGCCGAGAAATAATTTAAAATGCAGTACGAACTGAAAACATTTTTTTGTATTCTTATTAATTTCTCGACTCCAGAGACAAAAATTAAAATTCTGAAATCCTACACAATGCGCCATTTAAAAAGTCAGCAGGCAACACAACCAGCCAGCGTTTCTCATTAATATCTGGTCTGTGTCGTTCTATTCCGGTACAACAATCCTCCAGAGACAGAAATATAACTTACAATGGACGTTTAATCTCCACTTGTCCTCCAGGGCGCTATCGGGGATGGACGGGTTCTCCGCTCGACATGTCAAGTATTTGCCATCGTCATCGATCACCGGCACGAACGTCAAAATGCTCAAACTCTGATTGTTCTGCTCCGAGAACTGAAACAAACAGAAGGTTTATTGGTTTTTAATTTGTCGGGAGAGGCCGGAGAGATGAACTCTCTGTTTTAGTGAACGTCTGTTAAGAAAAGTTCCAGGAATGGCCAACGGCGTACTGTTCAAAGGGCGTTAGCAAATATATAAGGCGCTTATTAACAAATCCAGCTTAAGATAATTACATAAGGATTTTTTTTTAATATAGGAACGATTTGGAATATTGGGGTAGCGAATTGAAAAGCCACCTGAAAAATATTATTTTAAAAGGAAGGAAATGTATTTCAATTTTCAAATGTAGCCAATTTAAAAATAAACACCAAAGAAAGAAAAAAGGAAACTCCAAGACCGTGTCAGGATCACGTTATTTCAGTTTTTCTCTTTATTCCTTTGTTGCTTATTTTTAAATATTATTATGACAGAAAAGAATGTAATTTTTAATAAAATATGAATCAATAATATTAGATGTAAGTGATTTTTTTAGTTATTATTTTAGTTTTTAATAATTTTTGTAATTTTAAAATATATACTAGAAAATAATAACCGCATTACGTATAGAATTTAAAAAAATATTTAATTAAATAATTAGATTTGAAAATTGTTAATTTATACCGGGTGACAATTTAACTAGTGCTACATTAATATCGCTTCTATTTATAAAAGAAATTTGATCAAATTTAAAACAAACATACTATACATAATTTAAATATATTAAGTATGATTTATTAAATGGATCAGTCTATATATAATGGGCCCGTTCACTTTCATTTTTGAATGTGAAATAATTATATATTTATAAAGATATTAAATTCTTTTGTCTGGTGGTACTTTTCCCATTAAGATATTTTTGCTAGAAGTAAGGGAATTCCCATAAAATTCTTTCAGTGACTCATTGCGTCAGAAAATCCCTAATTCCGTTCACGTCTCGTATCGGTTATGCTTAAAGACGGCGGGGTTGTCGGAAGTATCCCTAATATAGCATTTCTGCATTTATATATGTAATTTAAATTGTAAAATTCCATTATTTTTCTAAAAATCATGAACTTATATTTTCAGATTTAAAGCTGGGAGCTTATTTTTTACTTTTTAATTAAAACAATTATTATTACTCAGGCTGAAAATTAACCAGACCATAATCAAAAAGTAGAAATTTGATTTGCAATATTTATCTGGTAAACGTGGCAACGTTGCATTTATTTCTAGAAGTATGTGTAGACAACACTATTTAGAAGTTGTCACGTTTACCAGATACATTTTCTCAAATAAAATTTCGATCTGGTAATATTCAGCTTGAGTAATACTAATTGTTTTTATTAAAATTTAAAAAAGGTAGGGCTTCCAGCTTTATCTGAAAATATAAACACATTTTTAAAAAATAATATATTTTTATCATGTAAATTTCTTTAATAAATGGAGAAGAGGAATGGTGGTGCAATGATACATCCGACAACCGCGCCCTTTTAACTATTAACCGATACGAGACTTGAAGGGAATTAGGGGTTTTCTGACGCAATGAGTCACTGAAAGAATTTTATGGGAATTCCCTTACTTCTAGCAAAAATATCTTAACGGGAAAAGTACCACCAGACAAAAGAGTTTAATATCTTTATAAATATATAAATAATTCACATTCAAAAATAAAAGTGAACGGGCCCATTTAGATTTCTTGACATCACTTATGTAATGGTTGGTACGAAATCACCCTATACAATTTTGTAATGTATATTAACATTTATAATTATCCTATAACAAACAATTATTGTATAGTAGTTATGTACGATTTTATTAATGATTGATGTATTGATTTGTGTTATCAAAAAGAATAAAAAGTTATATACAAAGTTCCAATTTATCTTTCTTCGCCTTGATAATATATCTAACGTTATAATGGTCGTCTTTTGGTCCATAAAAAGGAAAACATTTGCAGAAAGAACTTCGAATAGTATTTAAATATTCCAACTATATTAATAGTATCTAAATCTGCTAAACATTCTTGGTTTCTTTTATTTGATTTTCCATATCGTTTACCATTAGGAACTCTTCGCCTGTGTTGGTTTTTACTGCGAATGTTTTTAATATTACATGAGTTTCTTCCATATTTTTTGGCAATTTAGGCCATTATACAGATTTTTTCTAACCAATCTTACATCTTTGATTGTCATGGTATTAATAATGGAATAAAATTAAAGTTGCAGTACCAATAACTACTATTACTTCTCTTTACGCCACGACTATGTGCAGATGTCTGTAAATATAAGTTCGAGGTACGGTATTTGGGAAAATAAGATAAGTGTGACGGGCGAGAGTTCGTTATAGCCTCGAGAAATAGATTAGTGGAAATGAAAAATGATGAGAGCTTCTGAGGTACGAATCTAAAACCGTATTATTTGTTCAAGTTATCGCAAAAATATTGGACTGCTGTTTATAGTGTTTTTATGTGTGGCAAGTATTGAGAATCAATTTTTAATATTGAGTTTCGTAAATTCGATGCAATTTTAACTAAATTTGTAGACTAATTGTATATACATATTATATAAATAAAATACAAAGTGATACTGTCAGCATACGTCAGCAAACTCAAAGCACAAATCGCACATCCGGTGCAACAACGTCATAAGTGCAAAAATATTAGAAAGTTACTTTTTAGTCACAAAATACGCCTAATCTGCTTTTACATCTGATACAGCAATGTGGTAAATATAATATATACAATAAATGAGCAATTATTCAATCATTTGACTTTTAATACATTTCAAATGGGTCCCTTGTAAAAAATAAATTTTTGCACTTACGACGTTGTTGCGCTGGATGTATGAAATGTCATAAGAATTGATGTTTCCACCATATATAACATTAAACAATAATTTTTCTATACTTTGAGTTTGGGATTTCGGCCATAATTTCGTGATCTTAGTGAAAATTTCGGGAATACGGTAGTAATTTAGAAATTCCGATAATTTTCCCTGAATATTTTCAGAGATTTCTAGAGATTTGTAAGCGATTTCGAGTGAAAATGTATTTCTGGAGTGATTCAACTCTTGTGTATACAACAATATATTATCATAAAAAATAAAATAAAATAAATAAAACTGAAAGCCAATATTACATAATTATGAGCGACCGTTTGCCTTCAGAAAACAACTACTCCTTTGGCTAACACCGCAATAGGTATTGAATTATTGTATCCGATATCGAAGCCAAAGGGGTAGTTGTTTTCTGAAGGCAACCGGTTGCTCGTAATTATGTGATATTGGCTTTGAGTTTTATTTATTTTATTTTACGTCTATCACATTTGAGTTTGACTTATTTTGCTTCTTATTTTTGAGGTCATTTTCATTTTTTACCAAATTTTACCAAATTTATAATATTTAATGACCTCACTCGTATACGGTAAAAAGTTTTTAAAACATATGAAGGTTATATTGGGAACGAGGTTAAATATCAACTATTATAAACAATAAAATTTTCTGAGAAATAAACTTTAAAAGATAATCGCTCAAATTGATTCCGATTATGGTCTTCTAGAACTAGAAAATTTTTCAAGGTGTTCGGTTTGCTCTTAAAACATTGTATATATGGTGCAACATTTTGGGTACACACTATATACACAATAGTTTTAAAATGATGTCCGCATTGCATTGTAGTTGAATGGAATTATAGTGCAGAATAAACTCTTGGAATTTCGCAATGAATTTACTTAATAGTAACTACACAAAGGACTTGGTAAAATTATTCTTTTCTTTCCACTTATTATCAGCCCATTTTTTGAGAACAAAAGGTCTGCCAAAAGTGGCCATTCATTAAACTATTTTCACTAATTTTCCCCATAAAGTGGGCTTTGTATTCCCTAATTCGATGTAATAAAAGCGAAATTTTAAGTCTCATTAACTTTTAAAAAATGTCTTTCTGTATTTAGATCGTTTGCTACACGCGTACTTTTCGAGCGTATCCTTCCTCAGAGCCTTTCTTTATTCAATCGTGAATGGGTCGCTACTGACAAAGAAAAAAGGCAACCAATGGTGATTAGGATGATTTCTTATCCAAATACAAGAAAGAATATAGAGAACTGTTGTCTGGCGTGTCCCTTCGAAGCCTATGTCTTGTTTTCTTAAAGAAAGTATAAAGAGAAATGCCAAGTATTTTCATTATGGCACAATTTTAATTCTTAAAATGTCTATTCTTAGAGCGGCATTTTTGGGTGGACGATGGATTCGTGTGCCGCATATTGATGCAAGCTTAACAGTATTTGATTTCTGCTTGCAGATTTTACAGGGAAAGATGTAGGGATATATCTCGAAAAACTGAACAAAGGGCTAAACTAGACAACTGGTCAGAAATAGACACGTTAAAATTGCTTAAATTTAAATTTACAGGAGCAGCATTCGATTTTTTCAAATAAGAACCGAGTTTAGATTTATTAGATTTTAAGGATATAAAGGCAAGATTAAGCAGTAAATTATCAATAAAAAGGTTACCAGGAGATAGTTTTCTGAAACTAAGCAACTGTTACCAACGACACGATTAAGACGTCGCCAGTTTCTGCACAAGATTGAGGTTATTAGGGAATCACGCGCTAGAAGACGATGTAAATGAGGCACTACTAAACGAAGTGGCCGGAATAAAGAAGAAAAATAAGGATCTACTACTAAACCAATTTAAAATGGGAAGGATTTACTAAAAGAAACAGGAGTGCTGCTACTAAAAGAAGAGGATTTGGACCTGGAAAAAGCAGAATAAATAGTTTCATTATTACAGGAAACAATAATGTTAATTGTAATAGGAAAAAGTAACAGCCATAGGGTAGCAATACAAGGAATGTCATTATTACAGAAAACAAGGACACACAGAAGCAGAATGTAGAAGTAAAATCCGGGACAATATGGGAAGAACAGGAAACAGATCCTGTTTTTATTGCGGAAAAAGTGGACACTGGGAAGGGAAATAGGAACAAATGGTAGTTCCCACCGATGAACGGGAACAATGACCAAGGAGGATCCCACAGGAGT